GCGGCGGCAGCGGCTAGAAGAGATCCCGCGCGACTACGCGACGCAGTGCCGCAGTATCCGCGGGCCCCGAAATACTTACGGTCTGCTCTGGTTCGCGTCTGTTATGTGCGTTAATCGTCCGCACCGCCACCAGCACTACTCTGCCAGGGACGACACGCTTGGAACATGTGGTCGAGATGCGTCCTGATATTAGGTTAGTCCGATCATAATAGTATCAAATACCTAATGTATATATTAAAACAGAGCTGTAATAATATTATGTCATTATTATTATTATATCGTGTTGCCCGTATCGCGAGTGGTATATTATAATATTTTAAAAATGGGGTGGAAAAGTTGCATTTTATTATATATATATTGTCGTGTATTCAGGCCCGCGAACAGCCAAAATGGATGACGGATGTCTAAATTCTGTTACTAAGCGACGCGCACAAAAGAAAAAAGAAACTGAGGGTGGTACTAAAAAAATAATATTTTACTGATATAAACCTTATTACCACTGTTCGATTATATATTTTGCACTATAATTACMTAATTTGGCTGAAAACCACACAATAATATTAAAAAGATTTTAGCCTTGATGGACCACGCCACCCTTACTACACCCTAACTTATTTTTTGTATAATCTAACTTGRGTTAATAAGTATTTCTGATAAGTGTTGTTTTGTTTCTTATAAAATGTAGTTTGAAATAAATTAATTTTTGTGGTTGGGCGTTTTGTGTTGTGATGACACTGCAGAAATACTCTTTAGCCTTTGAAGTGAAACGATTTTTTTACAACCACAGTACCACACTCAGGCTGAAAGATTTGTGGTAAACAATGTGATTCATCACAGTAAACTAAAACACAAAAATTATTAACATTTTTAATTTCAATAAATTTAATTATTAGATTAAATTAAAATTGTTTTTCTGTATAATAAATCTTAAAATAAATCTTAAAATAAAAATGTTTTCATAAGAATTGTGAAATTAAAATATAATTTGAAAATTAATTATYATTCAAATTTAAATTATCAAAAATTGCATGCGCTATTTATAAATGATCCTAATGGCTAATACAGCTCGAAAAAGTTTGATTTTGACTWCTAAAATCGACAATTCCAATATACCTATGTATTTTAAATATACAAATTAATTATACAATAATACAAATTACTAACATATTATTCATAAATATATCCGTTAAATAATTATAACTTTAAAACTTAAAGTAAATGTTTTTTTTTTTTCAAATTTTAGATAAAAATATAAAAATTTAAACCTCTATAATTCTATAATTCTGGTACTTTACTTCTTATTTTAAATGTAATGCATATTTGACTATTTGAGTGGTCACGTGTATCATGTAAAATGCATAATCATAATACATTTTCTTCTGAATTCAGTTGGTACTTATTTATATTCCGTAAAATAGCTTCAACGTTATAGTTTATATTTTATCAGARTAGAATGCAGACTAATGTTTAAGATTTTGCTTTCAATAACCYACAAGTATAAGCAAGTGGTGCATTCAACCGCGTGAGTCTTTTTGACGCATCACGAATTGAGTTCATTAATTCAAATGTTTATACAAAATATTTTTAATTGTGTACATAATAAATTATATAGGTAACTCGTTTTTAGTATAATAGGTACTCAATTAAATAAACTCAATCATATTCCTTCTTTGTCAAAACATAATATTTCTCGATGTATTTTGTTCTTTAAATTTAAAATATTGGATGCTATTCTCTTATTATTTATATTACTCTATGTACGAATCTATAGAAATGTAGATGAAAACATTGAAAATGTAAAATTACATAATTATTCAAAATAAATTAAATTGAATTAAATTATATTCAATTAAATTTTAAATAATTAATTATGCCAACTTAATTGATAAAATTATATTATTTTACTTATTATAGAAGACTTACAGCTTAGAGCAGGCTTGACATATTTTAATATCAACTAAATTCTATCACACAAACCATTCTCAATAGTCGAATATAATATATTGTAAGTAACGAAAATACAATTCGTTCTGTCGAGAACCAATAAAGATAATAGATTATTATAGTATGGTTGGCGCATTTCTCTAGTCGTAATATCTGACAAGTGACAACATAACAAAGTCTAGTACTAATTTCGCTCATTATGGTTTTACATCCTTCAGCAGAACGTTATGATTTGGTCMATTAAATTGTCTTCCGGTCATGTCGCGGACTTCCCGTTAAAAGAGCATGCGAAAAAAAATGGTCCGTTATGTAAAACTGTACTCATACTGGGCGACGAGTCGTCTTCAAGTAATTCATTATGATTGAACTCATTCGAGGGAGACGAGTGGAGTTATGTATATTTTTTTGACAGTTGCGCATTCAAAAACAATGGTCAATCATGTCCAACGTATAGTAGCGTATCAAAGATTCTTATACAGGGGTAATGATTCGTTTAACAGTAAAGTATTGGCGCATTGTTTCAAGTWATATGTTGATTTTTTTACTCATGGAAACACTAGGTCAATTTTATACAGTTATATTTTTTAGTTTTTGATCAAACTAACCACATAATTTAGTGACATAAGCAATATCTTTAGACTACAAAGTAGATGGTTTTAAAATTATTAACAAATATGTTTGAATGAGTTGACTTATAAAATWAAATTACAAAATAAAATAACAAAATATTAATTATTTAATGCATATATAATGCATTGATAATAGCTATTATATTTTTAGAACACGTGTTTTTGAAATAGGTAGCCTAACAGACTAAAACCTTAAGACATATGTCAATCGTGCCAAAAATCACAGGCAAGGAAAAAAATTATGGGGTTCAAAAAAGTTATACATCAATTGCGCCAGACGATACTAAAGTTGAAAAATAAGCTGATTACACACTAGGCGATTGAAACGCGCTCGTCTGGCGTTTTTCATACCCTTGGACAATAAATATTAAAAGAAGAAACTAAACACAATCATCTTCTTCCTAAAAATATTCAACGATAAATTATATCAAATYAAGTTAGAAGAAAAGGTATGGACGATTTCATAGAAAAGTCGTTAAAATTGATTAGTAAGCAAATATTTACTGAAAAATCAACAAATGATMTCAAAACTGTAAACATATCAAATATACAACAAAATGTATATAGGATAAGATGAAAATCTATACCAAAATTACCCAAGCATTTGCGAGAAACTAAGAAATTAATAATATCCACAACAACACTTACAAATAGAAATGAAGAATTTTTATTAATATATGATTTTGAAAATAATTTWTTTTTTTTTTTATTTATAAAGTTTTCCTGACAATTGGTCATCTAAACTTAAGGCTAAAAGAATTGAAAATAATATAACAGCGTTTGAAACGGTAACTGACTTAAATTTCATCTGTTTTCAAGAAAAAATATTTAAGGATGGGACCTTTTCTTATTGTTCGAAAATATACTTAGTATTATCTCTTACATATTAAAACATATTTCTTTAATTACCATTTTAAGGGTATCTTTTAAATTTAAATTTAAAATCAAAATAACGAAAAATTATATTTTTCAAAAAAATATAATCTTATAACACATACAAAAATTATTAGGACTTACTATAAAAAAAATCATCAAATTATTTATGTCATACCTGAACAACAATTTTAGAATTTAAAAAAATAAGACTTTTGTTTTAAATTTATTCAGTATACCTACACTTAAAGCTTTGTCCATATTTATTTATATATATATTTTTTAATTTAAAACTTCTAGTAAAAACTATGATAGTTCGATAATTACAATATTAAAATCATATAATTAATGTATATGTTCTTGATAATTTAATATTTGTTTTTGTTGGTTTGACCATATAAATTTAAATATAAACCCCGAACTTTATCGAAATTTATAAAATTAATTAATAATTATCAAAATAAAAAATTATTAACGCGTATATTTTAATATTTTGTGCAATTAGGTAACTAAATTGTTATACGAACATTTTGCACGTAAATTATATTCGCTGGATATGTCTGCTATTATATAATAACAATTTATATAAATACAAATTTTAATAATTTCATTACATTTTTAAGAATATAATTATTTTAGGATAATTATTAAAGTATTAATAAATAAACATAAATTATGTTATAACTTATGCATTAAAAATGTATGCGACCCAATTCTGTTTAAATGACATATTTGACTACCTAGTGAAAAGGGGAAAAAGGAAAARTCTTATTTTTATTTACGCATTCTGCAATGTTTACATATTATAATAATGTTCGGATTCTTCGGTAACTCAGAGGCAGTCCCCTTGGCACAGTCGATATTCTTTAGGATACACTAGTTAACTAAATGTCTGGAACACCCGGAAATATTTAACGACCAACAGACTCACGTATTCAAATATTCAAACAATAATAATTGACCCACTTGTCGCGGTTTTTACTCCTTTTATATTTTTTAATGGTTGCCCTTTTGTTTCGGGCTGAAGCGAAAGCCAGACGAGACAATAAATCTGAATTTATGACATTAAGCCAATGTGCTCTGGTTGCTTGTCGTCCAAASAAAGGCCATATAATAACACGACGGCGAGTACACGAACCACACGCGACCAATTAACAGGGATCTAAAATAAAAATCTCAAGTTTTTAATTATTATGATTAAAAGAGAAACAACAATGAATAGCACTATGGAATTGGTAATAACTGATATATGTGATATGTCAAATCAACTTGACCTGATTCCTCAAAGTTGTGTCATGGGTGAAACCATCGTTATTGTATGTTTTTTTTTCCGTACCATTACACAATAGTATAACACCGACGAAATGAGTCAGTTGGAGGAGTGACGTCGAAAAAAACGATAAGTCCTTCATTTTAATTATTTCAAGGGAATTATCATGTATTTTTCAAACATTGTATTCATAATTTATTTATATTATTGTCTTCGATGGTTGTATTTATACATATTTTTTAAGTTAAAATTTAGGTAGGYATTGTTTTAGTTCTACAAAAGTCCATTGGTAAAACTTATATTTATTACGTCAAAAAATCTGATTGTAATAATCACAATACAAATTATTACTAGTGATCAACTACAAAATTTCCTATACTGATATTAAAAACTAAAAATTTTAATATAATTAAATATTAAGTAGAAATAGCATCAAAATATGATAAAAACTAAACTTTTGCAAAAATAAAGCTATAAAATCGAATTTAGAAAACGAAAATAAACAAGTTGGTTTAAATAACCAGTTAGTGCCTAAACTGTTAATATACATATCTCATATTTCGTGAACAACTGGAGTTTCTTGTTCTTAATACTCTAACGTTAGAATTTAAATAAGGTACTTATGATAAACTTAGTATTCATACTTACTTTTGGGATTTTTGATTAATCGACTTCTTTACATTATCGATAAAAAAATCTTTATTAGAAATTGCTAACATCAATTAGTATGTATTGAGTAATAACTAATATTTTTAATAACATTGTGCATAACAACCAAAATTTGATTGAATATAAATAATGTGTATTCAATTGAGAGTTAACATCATAAAATCAGTAACAAAAACTGTCTGCAAGTAAAATRCATTTGAAAATTATTTAATCATACATAATAAACACTTTTTCATTCAAAAAATAGTATTCTTATTTACTGTAATAGCTGTAAAAAAAGTTGGGTTTCCAATTATTCATAGTTGAAAAAAGAAATATTAATTTATAATAAGATTGATAGACAATAATTCAAATATACCGTTGTTCTAAAACCATGTGACAAGTAACTGTAGTTATTCAAAAATGTATATTATTATTATTATATATATATGATATATATTTTTTTTGTTATAACAATGGTTTTAATTTTTTATGACGTTATAATCTACTTATTTTATGAAATAAATATCTATATTTTGATAACCTGTCTTTACTATGAACATTTTTACCAACATTTTTACCAACATTATTAGAAAAATGTATTTTTTTTTTTTAATATTAAAACAAAGTAACACAAGTTAAATTGTATTTATTATATTTAAAATATTTAGATCAATATATATATATATATTTTTAAATTTATTATGATCTCTTTCTTTTCGTGGTTTGTGTTAAAAATGTACTTTTCAGCTATAGCCAAAATTGTATACTCGACAAGTCAACTGCAGATAGCTTATCATAAAAAAAATCAATTGGAAACTAATAGGAATATAATGAATAACTTATACAAAAACTACGTTAAGTATATCAACCTATATATTGTCGTCCGTCAAATGATGCTAATATATTTATTTCTGAAGTACTATAATATATGAATATACTATACTACAATTTTGACGATGTCCAATGTCCATCCAAGATATCAATACACCCACATTTGAAAACCACAATGTGAAAAAATTACTAAACCATGACTATACGTCATACACACACACACCACACAAATGCGTTATTGCGTCGTACACTTAACGCAAAATAATATTCGAGGTTTTCCGGTCCGTATTTTATTTTGTTTTTTTGATATTATAACAACACCCATATAACCAGCGACTTTGTATGTGTCAACGGTGGTCTCCTGTAGGTACATCGGAGAAAGCGATATGTAAAATAAAAAAAAATAGGCGCAAACGATAATGTATTAAAATATATTCGTATCTACATACCTACTATTATAATAGGTATATAATAGGATACATGTATAGTTGGACGAAGAAAAATAATATTCTCTAAACTAATTTTTTATTTCATATAGGCCGAATATCGTGCGACCTGCACCGCCGCTGCATTGGCAGTCGTCGTCGTAATAATAATTATATTATTATATTTTAATTCCATTCGTGTACCTCTATAATAATAATATTATTATACATTCGTTTGTTTTCGGACCGAAAACACGACGAATTCGCTGCACGTGCCTCGAGCGATCTTATACATAGAAACCAATGACGACGCGGCCGTCGCCTGATGGTCGGCGCGAGCAGCAAACTCGCGCGCGCGTGCTCGCGGAACGCCCGGCGCCGACGGTGCAGCGCGCGATAAAGACCGATGTAGTTATGGCGCGACGACGTCACCCGAGGGATATTTTCACTGGCGCGCGCGCGGAAGGAAGGAAGGAAGGAAACGTCCGAGAAGAAGAAACACAACAAGAAACGTGTTATTATTGTTTATAACCTCCAATTAATAATTTGTTCACCGCGATTATTCACGTCCGCGCGTACATTGCGTATATGTGTATCTTGGTCACGACCTTCGAGTATCCGTGAACGGCCTTGTTGGGCCGATATTCGAGTGAGAGAATCAAATATTATTATATATATAGGCACACACGACGACTAGTTTTCTTTTTCGTGTCTACAAAACCGATATATTATGAGCGTGCACACGCATATATACTATCTGCGCACTCACAAAATATTATATATTGTATTGTAGTGTATGTGTGTGTATGTGTGTTTGTGTAGGTTCCTACACGTAAATATTTGTAGACAGCGAGAGATAGATAGAAAGAGAGAAAGAGAGAGAAGACAATTGATGAGTATAGCGTTACATTGCTGCAAAAACGCAATTTCGTGGGCGGATGTATCTCATCCCGGATATTGTTTACTTCGACTTTCAGACAATCTCGTTTTCACCAGCCATTTTAACGATAAAATCACTTTCGGTCGAAATATATTTCAAACCGTCAAATGGTTTTTTTTTGTCTGTAAAATTAAGGTGTCGTCATACCTATAAGTGAATTAATAATAAGCTTTTATGATTTACCGATATTCAGTCGAATTTCAAATGAAACACATAATTTTGTTTTATGGAAACCATTATTCGTCAACAATTATGATATAATAATGACCCTATTATATAGTGGTTATTAATGGTATAATTTAATATTATGAAACGACCATCGTGTAAACTATTATTAGGTAGTGTCTTTATTATTTACCAATACTTTTATTTTGACCAATTACTTTATGTACGTATGTATTTTTTCTATATAAAAAAAAAATAATTAGACGTAATATTAAAGTAAAAACCAATTATCTTCACTTTAAATGCTTCATATTATAATTATTTATTTTTACTGCATTTTTTCATTAGTCTAATACTCTAATATCTGATCTCTAATTGTTCGTAATTTGTATGTAGTTAATTCATTCTATGTTTCATAATTATTAATAATGATAATTGATAACTAAGCCAAATACATTTATACCAACATGGAAATATTATAATGATATCTACCTATACCTTTAGTATAGTAAGTACCTATACTTAAAAATAATTATTTCATTGATTCTAGAAAAATTCGAATATTATTAATAAAAATTAATMTTTTGAATATTTTATTTTATCTACAATAATCTTAACAAATTCTTATTACCTAATTAATGAGTTCMCAAGAAGGAGATATTATTCATCTGATGCAATAATTTAAATTAAAAACGAAGTTTTTGCAAAAAAAAAGTTCAATGAGTAAACCAATCGTTAATAATTTGATAAACATGCATGGTCAAGACGTTAATGTCTTAGACATTGAATAGCTTAGGYGGGATAATAATATTTATACTTTGACACATATACATAACAACATAACGTATTGTCTTAAAGACTTAAAATATTACAACCATAACCATTGACTATCTAAGTAATAACTACCTAACCCGATCCGTAATGGGATTTCAGTAAACTGTTTCTTATTTCTTTCTTTGTTGTGTCGCCATATTCCATATGTCACTGTAACAAAGTTGAAAAACACGTATGCAATATTTCTGATTATATTAAAATGATAATTTTTTATGAACATCTTGTGCACTTGGATTTTGGATACGACGTTCTATTATATTCCAATTTCACATTTACATGTCATTCATCATCTATTATAATATATTCATTATTCATACTGGATTTTTTGATCATTTTCTCTGCTCCATATATTAAATTCCACCAAACGCATATTATTTGATTACATGCATGCATTTTATTTTACCTTTAAGTAAGTGGACTTTACGATCGATGCCCACTTTAATTAAATATATATGTATGATTATGGCAATTAATAATTATGCATCTTAAATTAAAAATACTTTAACCTGTATATTGCAGTTTAGATTCCTATTTTAATAACTAACGGGTATACCTATATAATTTCTTAAGGCTCATAAATTCACCACTATCATTTTAAATTTCTTTAATAATTATGGATATTAAATAAGATTATTAAATAATTATTAATTTCTTTTTTATTTTACAATAACAGTAAGATACAACAGAACATCAGTTTATTATACTTTATACATTTACTAAAGTATCATCTATGTTATAAATACGACTTATTAAGTAGTAGGTAGTTGATAAATAATTCATATATGAATGCATYTAACTATTTAAGCCAAGAGTAATATATATTATATAATATGAATTATGCACAGATGAATGATTCATCAAGTATAGGTACTTATCCCTATTTCATCCTTTTTAAAACATTAATTTTAATTTTGATTTTTGTAATTTTACACTAGATTTTCAGATATATTTGAAAATCATATTTTTAAGTAGGCAGGTACCTATATTTAACCTGAGATTTAAATATTTTGTTATGATATAAACCAACATTTAAGTGTTTTTTTTTTTACTAGCCAAATTTTAAAAACAGATTTAGATAACTAACTTTATACCTATATAACCAATTGAAATACAGCCATAAACAATTATTACTGYATAACTATAATACCTTTAAGTCAGTTTGTTAAAAAAAAATATGCATAATGTATTAACTATTTACTTTRAAAAATTAACCAATGAGCAGTTAAATGTTTAATTTAATCGCAACACTTACAAATAACTAAAATTATAATTTTCTTAATCTTGTAAAACAACAAAATATGTTTAATTTGTATTTATTATTAACACATGCATATCATATTTTAACTATATAATTGTTATATATTATACATTTTTAGTTTTTAAAATGATATATTTTTGGTCAACTGTAATGTATATATGTAATAATAATGTTATTGATAACTAATGAGTAATGACAAACAAATAATTCATATTATTAAAGATTAAATATAATGACAAATTACAATTTTTTTTCAGGGATATGTTACTTAACCGTAAAAGCTGGTGTTGCAGTTCGTCATTTTGAAAACAGTTATTCACAAGGTAATTCCGATGATTCATATCCTAATACGTGTATAGTATGTATAAATAATCCATATAATAGGTGTCTATATAATAATAATAGTATGAACTATGTAATATACATCCATCTAGGTCATTATCACCCTGATGGTAATTCAAAAAAATAATAGTTGCGTAATATATTGACCTCCGGCACTTTCTCCAACCAAAAATGTTTTGGTATCTAGAAAAACCTATGAGGTGGGTACAATTTTTTTCTCCGCACCTATCACGATTGTCCTGTATGCGTTTTTTTTCTAAGAAGTCACAAATAGTTGCACAACCGGTGTGTGTGTGACATTATGTAACGGATGTATTTGGACGACGAGAGAAAAGTAAAAAGCAACACGCGTGTGAGARGAAAAACAATTATRTGTTTATTTTGGCGTTCATATAATATWATATTATATTATCATAACGACATACGGGAACTGCATTTCCGATTTTTATGTTGTCGCACTTTCTCTGATGTCCCATAGGAATGAGAATTTTTGTGTATGAGCAATTTTTAATTTTTACATAACGGCGGTAGTTTAATTTTAATCGTTTTTATTCTAGATATTATTAAATATACATTATATAAATTACTATTGATAACGCTTCGGTGTATTTATTTTTATTTTTTCTATTAAAATTAAGCCTGTAGAGTGTAGACAAAAAGCAAATGAACCATTAGTGGTCGCGGTGTATTATTATTGTTATTATTACATTTGTTTATATACTTGTTTATACATGTAGATTGTAGGTATTACATTTTTACAAAACAAAAGACCTTACTCTGTTTTGAACATCTGACGGTAAAGCACCCGGATATCGTGCATAAAATGGAAAGTAAATGAGTGTGGGCGGCGTAATATATTTTCTTTAAAAACACGCCGATTTACATATTATACGCAGTCTGTTTTGTCGGGTCGGTGAAATATAATATTAATTTTGTATGTATGTTCAGAAAGGTTACAAGTCCACTGTTTGCCACACGCTCGGCAAGTTCAATTGGTTGTACATAATTTTCACTTTGAACAACCTACGAATACCATTTTTAAACCAAGTTTATTTTTATTGATACAATATATACGTAGGTTTAGTATCCAAACATTTTTTAACCTACACGTTCGTTTATAATTTTAATTCTTTTAGATTATTATATAGTCACTGTTCTAGAAAGTAACATCATTTTAAGCTTAAACTCATACCTAGTTACCTGCAGTAATAATAATATTAGTATAATAACATACAAATTAACTAATAATGGTATGAGTGCTTTACATTTCTAAATATCATTATGAGTAAATGAAAACGACTTAAACAAAAAAAAAAAATTATATAGTGAATTTCATTTAATAGGTAGATACTATAGGTATACTATTTAACATCTAAAAACACTTCAAAATTTCAAAAAATAATTGTAGCTATACCCTCATTGAATAAATCCGTATATTTGATTACAAATACAAATAAACAATAATTAAAAATATTTCTATATTACAATTCAGTTTATTTTATTTGTCATATTCAGTCATTCAATGCTATTTTTACATTAAGAAAACTTTTTTTGAGAATAAAATGTTATAATGAATCATAAGATAATTTATATTCAAAAATCAATTCTTTCGAAATAATTTCTAATTATCTCAATTAATCTTAAACGTAAAATTTATTGCATAGGACTGAACACATTCTTAGAAAACAATTAACACTTTTTTATGTGGAAAGAAAACTATAAAATACTCGTACGACTCGTGCCTTCGTCATAAACAGAGTCAAACTGTGTCATGATTAATGTTTGCTTGTAACATTCTATTTATGAGTGTAAACAGTAGCAATGAATGATCACCAGATATGAAGCATTTAAATAAATGATTGATTATCACATGAATAGGTAATTATATCGACTATTTGAATTTATATGATGAAYAACATATCCTTCATAAAATATAAAAATCACTTTCAATAGGTATGAAGAACACATATTATTTCCGAATGTAATAAGTAAATATATCCCTTCCCAATTATAATGGAAAAATTAATATTACTTGAAGTTAATTTACGTTTTTTT